TGTAGCAGGAGTCAAAGATCGAGGGCTGATTTGAACTCCTCCAGACAGGGTAGAGCAATTCCCACTGCACTTAGTCATCCTTCTGTGGGTGTACGGCCTGGGAAGAAGTGCTCTTTCTGGTATTGCTTCATGGGAATAAATGTGTACGACTGTGTTTGAGAGTCTGTGCGAGGATCAGAACGTCTGGTCCACCTCTGCAAAGCAAGCTGGTACCTGCTCAGGCTGCCTGTACCAGAATTGTCTGGGTGCTGCTTTAAAAAGCTCACCCCCAACAAATTCTTCCAAGCAACCCACCTATGTTTTCTTCCTAGATAGTGGTGTGAAAATCAATTATACGCAGGATGTAATTAACGTTGTGGATAGAGTTAAGACAATGTTTTACAACCCAATTACGGGGCACTGTTTACAGCACAGCTTACCCATCAGAGTTTGTCAACAAAGAAGGAAAAGTGTTAAAATATGTAAATGATGCACAAAGTTGGCTTCAACAGCAAGCACAAATTACACATGGGATGTCTCACTTCCATACTCCGAATTGTCTTCTTCCTGCTAAATCACACGGCGCAGAATCTGAGTGCTGATTGCCTGAGGTGCCCTTCAGGAACTTCCAAAATAGTTTGACTGATGAATTATTGAGTGGCGATCAGATGAATTATTGAATGATAAGCAGAATGGCCTGCTTGTGAGCCAGATTTCTGCAGACCCAATAGCCTGAACTATTGAAACTGCGGAAGAGAACTGATTATTTTAAACCAAAAAGGTGAAGGGAGCCCTGGAATCTACTTGTGGTTCCTTGTCATGAGCTGTCTCAGCAGCCAATCTTCTCAAGTGCTGCCTGCTCGCCTTGTAGAAATCTGGCTGTTAATACAGAAATGGACTGGTGAGTTTTGAAAATTGTTGTCTTTGACAGAGGCTTGGAGAAATGGTTGCTTCAGCCTGCCAAGAAACCTGGGGCGTATCGCTCCCTTGGGACTTGCTTTCCCAAATGCGAAGTAGGAATAATGATCCCGAGATGATTTGAGATGCTTCTTAAGGCTTCAGCTCTGAAAAACATATCAAGATAATGCTTAATAGTAGCACTGTGTACATCCCATTGCACTCTGTGGGATTAAGAAAACACCGCACTGTTGCAGTGCGTGGTAGGGTCACAGCCTCAATTAATTTACTTTGCCTTTTAATTATTTTTTTCCCCTTTCTGATAACAGAATGAAGCAAAGAAAAGCCACCCCCCAGCCAGCCTCCACCAAGTGGAAGCAGAGGTCATCGTCCATTCTGATTTTTCAGCCTCTGACAGAGACTACGACTCCCAGCTGCACGCCCTGGACACTGAAGAGGCAGAAACAGAGGAGCAGGAGCCTGAAGAGTTGCCCTCTGGCGAGGTGGCTCCTCCCGGCTCTCCCAGCGCCCAGCAGGATGCTGGCCAAGCGTTGGATGGCTCCCGGGGCAGTTCTGAGGTTCAGACCCAGGAGGAGCCATTACACAGCGCCAGAGAGACTCCCAAAACTGAGGCCGTTCGCGTCCCTGGGCTCACCAACGGCTTCCACAGGCACGGGGAAAGTCTGGATTCAGTGGAAAGTGGAGATTCGGACTCCATCCAGGAGTGCAGGGGGGACGTGCGGCCGGTCAAGTGCCAATTGCTTTCCGTGGCCCTGGAAGAGGCCCCCCTGTGTAAGTAACTCTGGTTTAAGCAGTTCGTCCTCAGCATCTGAGAACATGGCATGTGTCCACAATCACTGAAGAGTTAAACTGATCTGATTTTGATCATGGGAGAGCTAGAAGCACTACAAAGGGCCTGTCCCCGTGAGGTACCGCGTGCCCAAGACTCGCTGGACCCAGCGGGAGCTGAGGAGGCTCAGCATCTCACCGGGACGGGGCTAGGACCTGTCAGCTGTACATAGCGCCTTCAAGAAACCAGTAGGTAGAAGGAGAAGGGCCCAGCTTTCTTCCCGCTGAAGCTAGTGAGTAACTTGGTGTTCGTGGGAGCAGGACTGAGCCGTCTCCAAAGTCTGACCCAGCACCAGGGCTAGGACGCAGCCTGCTGCGCTGAGCCGCTGCGGTCCCCTCGCTGCGGTCCTCGAGGCGCCCAGCAAGGCTCCTGCTGCTGCTGGCACGAGGCAGGGTGCACCGGGCGCTTCTCCTGCACTGTCTGCTCGCCAGGGAGGGCCTTGGCACTGCCTTCTGCCTCGCCGTGTTGGGATGAATTCTGTTCGGAGTCCCACAAGGGGGTGGAACCAAGACAAACAGATGCCGCGAGCTGTAACCACCAGCCTTTTCTGCCCTCCCGTGGTTAAAAGGATTATAAGGCTCTCTTTGTACGCTACCACAGTAACTATTGCTAGCAGGCTGATGTAGTGGCCTTTTATTACACACTCTACGAGTGCCTCTAACAACTTGTACTATATAGAACCTTCTTCAGTGTCTGGGTCATTTCACCAGCCCGGGCTTGGTTTTACGTAGGTTCTTGTACCTAATATTTTAGGTACACATCTGTCCTTTTAATGTACAACATGTATTTTTATTTCCTTGGAGCATCTTTATATTATTTAATTTTATAAAGTGGAGTAGTGTGTGGTATAGAGTAGCATTTTTACTACTTCTCTCTCTCTTTTTTTTTTCCTCCCTAACAACACAACTACCTCATGTCTGTTGGAGAAAAAAAAAGCAGTAAATCTACTCTTTTGTTATAGTCCATTATAGGTTTTAACTTATTCTTATACTGCCTTTTTCTAAAGAATATGTTTGCACTGGTTGTTGACTATTTTTATTGAATAGCGCTGCAGAGCTGATGTCTATCTTGGTTTGTTTCTAAGTATTGCTGGAGGAGACATTCCCTGCAGCTGGAGAGTTGGGCTGTGTGCTCTGTAGGACTCTGTTTTGCAGGAGCTGGCGAAAGGAGGCTGCTTCAGCTGGTGGGATGGTGGTCAGCCTTTCTCTAGAAGTTTATATTAGCAAAGATGAAAAAACACCAATTAGAAAATCAAGCTGTGATCTAGGGGAAAAAAGAACCAATTGCAAAAGTAAATTGTGATCTCGGGGACATGTCTTTCTGTTTCTGATTTTTCAGAGAGCAGCTCTCAGCCTCCCGTGAGCTGTAGACCCGCTAAAGGCTTTGGATGAACAGGTGATAATTTCTAGTCACCTCTGAAAATCCTGGCCGAAGTACTTTTTAAGACCAGAACAAAATCAAAGTGAAGTCCTCAAGTCCTTGTGCTCACACTGCTAGGTCCAGGTTTATTAGAGATAACGTTTGACAAACATCCTGTGACCCTTCCTTGCTGACACCGTTGGCTTGCTGCTGCCGTGTCTCTCAGCCTGGCCTTCAGGTGGAGGGTGAACTCCTCTGGCTGTCCTTTAGCCTGTCTCTGCCCTGTTCCAGGGTCGTGGATTTTGACTGTGAACACTGTAGATGGACTCCTCGGGGGTGATAAGGATTGTTAATTCTGCTCATGGGGTGTTTGGTAAATGTTCTGCCTTCCTGAGGGTTCAGAGATCTGGCCATTTGTTAAAAGATAAAATGAGGGTAAAGATTCCCAGCTGGCGTTGCTCCAGCTGGTGTTTGGTATCTTGAGGAGTCTCAGAAATGCTGAGACTGAGTCTCAGAGTCACCAAGGCTGTGTGTGGCACTGGAGACTGGAGAGCAGTGCCAGCGAGCAGGCCAGGCAGGAGCTAGTGCATGGAGCTAGAAAGCCAAGAAATGATAACTGGGCAGAGGAAGTGCATAATTAACCTCCAGAACTCACTGCCACAAGACTTTGAGACTAACGACTTAGCAGGGCTGCAGATAAGGACAGTGAAGTGTTATTGCAGGCAATGAGGGCAATTCACAGTTCTTTGGGAGCGGATGCAATTGCAGAGGTATAAACCCTCAGCTGGGCACTATCAGGCCCCAGCTGCAGGAGGGTGGGGGGAGAAACTGGACCTGAGTTGCTGTTAGTTTTATGGAAGGGTCCTTGTCCTTCCCCAGTGACAGAGCAGACCCTGTAGAAGCCACATTGCTAACTGTGATGTGCAGAAAGTGGGGTACAGACGTGGGGTAAGCATTGCAGATCAGCCTGAAATCCCTTCCTGCCTGTCACTGAAGCAGGCACAGCGTGGCAGCATTCCCCTGGATCATCTGGGGCCGATCGTGAAACCTCCACGTTAGTTGCGTGCTGTGAGAGCAGAGAGCAGGCCCTTCTCCTTATGCACCACAGAAACAGTTTTGTGTCCCCACCTTGAAGCTGCTTCTGATCTCGTTCCACCTCAGTAGATTTTACCAGGGCACAAAGCTGGCAGCCATTTGGATGTCCCGGCGCTGTGGGGGCAGTGGACTGGAGTGCCAGAGCTCAGCTGCAGAAATCAGGGCCGTTCCCTCACACCAAGAGATGCCAACAGCGAGGCTCCGTACGAGCACTGTGTCCAGTGCAGTGTCCGGGGCTCCTTGGTGCCCTCAGTTTGCTGCAGCTCTGCCCCAGGGCCCTCCTGTCCCGAGCACGCGTAGGGACTGGGTTAGAAATGAATGGAAGAAGACAGACAGTACACACGTGATGTGTAAAGCTGAAGCAACCAGTGCATATATTTTTTTATCATGAAATAAGTAGCTTTCTTGCAAATTTCTCACAGACACTCAAGCTGTTGATACCTTTAATTACCCATCACACTTAATATATGTTCCTACGCATCAGGCTCCCTTCCCCCTTCCCTTCCTTTCAGTAACACTAAAGATTATTGCTAGTCAGCTTTTTGCCGGTGTATATTGTTTTACATTGTTAAAATGTCAGATTTGTCTCACTGGCATAATTTTGTAGTATTAATGTTGCCATTTGGCTACACAACTGTATATTTCCCATGCTGCTGTGAGAGTCACAATTCTTATTCCTTTACTTCTTTTAAATCCCTGCTACATGAAATACATGACTCAGCTGAGGATCTCCAGTCTTTGATTTCCTACTTAACAGACAATAAAGTTCTGGTTGAAATAGTTAAAATCAGATAACTTATAACCTAGGTTCTGAGAGTTTTTTTATGTTACTAGCCTAATAATCCTGAGATCAGCCCATGAAACATGCTGTATAAGAAAACAACCACTTCAGTACATTGCTATATATGTTTTTGGTCTCATTAGAAATAGATGTCTTGAAGGGATCATTTTGTCTTTTCTAATCAATACCCTTGTTAGAAAAGAGGGCTTTAGTCCAGCAGAAATCCACCATCTCGTTCTGTTACTGTATTCCCTCGATAATATTTTAAAATTAAATTTCATTTAACTTTCTACACAGTGCATAAGGACGTGTAACCAGAACTTGATCTTGTTTGAAGATTGTGTCTGTATTTGGTTCCATGCTGTACTTAATTATAACTTTCTTTCTTCAGAGACTGTTCTTACTCCACGAATACTCTTTAGTGTTAAAGTGTAAGAAGACATTGTCCTTATATTCCTTAACTAATGGATTATTAATAAAATATTTTAAAAAAACAGTGGAATTTGTCTCAGGAGTCAGTCTGTTACAGCTCTCAGAGAGAAAGTTGCTGCGGAAGGCTCATCTTGTAACTTTGGAGCGGCTGGGCCCTGGGAAATGTGGTTTTAATGCTTACTCATTTCTCAACTGTTGAACTGATTCCTAGAAGAAAAAAACAAGTCCAGTTTTGTACATTGTCTCGTTGGGGATTTTTATGGGGAAAATAAGCAGAAGCATCTAGCAAAGAAATGGTGAGACCTCTCCTAGATGGTGCAGTAGGTTAAATACTCAGTGGCTTGTGTCCAGCAAGATTGGCAAGAAGATGTCTGGCGGTGCCTGAGGACACACTATTAACCTCCCATGCGTCTCCCTTTCTTCCTAGGATGCATTCCCTACTTGAGGAGATGGCTTCCATTATTGCTTTATGCTGCCAGGACTACTGGGGCCATAAAATCTCATTTTATCTGCATTATAGAGGTAATAAATCTGCACTTAGCGTAGTGTTCGCTGATAGTGGTTACAGGGAACTCTGTCAAACTGCCGAACTCTGATGAGTTTTTCTCTTAACGACAGGTAACGAGCAAGGAAGGACCTTTGTGGGGGGTATGACTGCACACACCCCACATCCACCTCAGTTCACAGCATGTGATGCTTGCAGGAGGCTGCCGAGGGGGCACGGTGGGGCAGCACCTGGATTAACAGAGCAGAGGGACGGGTGGACAGAGCGGTTACAGGGGAGCTGGGACTACGGAGGACTGGAGATAAGAGATTTGTTTGCTTTTCATTCCCTTGGCAGTATTTATTGCCGTGCTGTGATGCAGCTGGCAATATCCTCATACTGGGCTCGAGGCTCCTGTGGTCTCAGGTAGCTCAGCAAGGGGCTGGAAGGCAACGCACCCTGCTGCAGCGAGGTGGCCGGGGATGCTCCACAGCTGCTCCCATCGCACTCTGGATACCGACTGGGCTGGGAGCAATGTGTACCTTAGTGGTTATAAAGCCTCTCCCAGGATCTCCAAACAGCAGCGTGCCCCCCCGCTGTGTTTTACAGCCATGCCCAAGGGAGAAAGGTCTCGCCAAGGACGGACAGGTGACGCCATCTCCTCGCCTCTTTGCAGCGATGACACTTCTGTCACACAGCCAGGGCTGGTCCCAGCCCTGAGACTGGATGCCAAAGGGTTTCCACTGGGAAAAGCGGCTTCCAGAAGCAGTGTCCCAGTGCTGCAGGGTGCCCCAATTTTGGCTCCTCTTCCCAATACTGACCACAAAGCAGATGCTAAAACCCCACGTGTGCGTACGTAAGTGAAAAGCTCCCAGGCTGTTAGCAGACAGGGGAAGCCACAATTACACATAGAATAATAAATGGAGTGGATTCAGACAGGTTAATCTCCTGCTTCATCCTCTGAAACTACTAATGGTGTCTTGGGGACCTCAGTCTGCAATTAATTGGTGTAAATCAGGAGCACTGTTGGAGCTAATGGAAATTCACTGAGCAAGGGGTGAGAGAAGCCCCGCGAGGCTGGCTCTCATGGAGGATAACCTTGTGGGGAGGGTCAACAGATGGATGGACCCCTCTGCAGGAGGGAGGATGGAGGGATGAACCCCACACTGCCTCAGCACAGGCTGGGCACCTCCATGCTGCAGCTCTGCTGTTTTTCAAAAGTTTCTTTCTTTCTGCTCACCGTGTGATAAACAAATTCCTAGCAATCCAATACAAAGCAACTTTTTAGCCTTCGTAGTTTACAGAGGAGCACAGAATAATGTGAGTGCTCCAGATTCCTGTCCTCAAGTAAGTCTAAGAAGAGCCCCAAACCTGCATTTTTCTTTAAAAAAATATCATGGTGAGTCCCAAATCTCATCCCACCCAAAATATCAGGTGAGTCCCATTGTTTGGCAGAACCACACCTGTGACTTTTGAAATTGACACTAATGATGTCATTTGCACAATGTGGGCTGAATTTAGAGATGCTCTGAAGAGATAGTTATCTACCCCTGCTCCTGAGTCCTGCCACTGCCACCCAAGACGTTGCCCATGCATAGGAGCAAAAGCATCCAAAATCCGTAGTTCCTGGGGGAACAAGCCCCATAAAGCACACTGTGCTTTGTTTCTCTTGGAGTTACTGATCCTGACAAGCTGTCCTTGGGGCCAGTTGGGCTCTGGAGCCTGCTCACCATGCTGGTGGAGTCCCTGGAGCTGCTACAAGCTCACGATGGCTGCTCGTGATAAATGCTTGCGTGGTGGCAGCCAGGAAGACAGCTGGGGAACAGGAGCAGAGTTTGCGCAAAAGGTCAGGGACAGCGCAGAAATTCAGATGTTACCGAGAGGCCAACAGAGCCAGTTCAGCCCAGAGCAAATTCTTCCCTCTACTAAATGAGCAAACCTTTAATGTGGAGCAGATGCAGTGACGTCTTCTTTCCTCGCTAGCTGACTCCACCACGCTCAGAGTGCACCATCAGGAGAGCCAGGCATTGCCTGTCTTTGCAAAAGGTTTTTATCAGGCTTCTGGATAGGTTTGCAGGGTTAGCAACCTGGTACATCAAGCTCTGGTCTTGTTCTGAAAAGAGAAAAGAGTTACCATCCAACTCTAATATTTTTTTCCCCTCAAACAACACAAAAGGCTTTGAGCTGTCATCAAAGGGATGATTTTGCTGCTGTTGATGATGTCAGGGAGTTGTGTTTGTGGGATAACATCAATAGGGAACGGCTACGGCTGCAGGGCTGGACCCTGCCCTCACCCTCTGCATCGGTCCTGGACACCATTTCCAACAACGGGTCCCTCTGAGTGGTGACAAGCAGGAGCGAGACCCTGAGGCAGACATGAGGAAAACAGCCCCTGCCATTAGCACAGGCTGTGCTGGCCAGCTGGGACCCATGAGGGGAGAACTGTGAGGGGAGATATGTGAGGAAGACCCCCCAGAAAAGACCCGTGAGGGGACAACCGTGAGGGAAGACCACTTAGAGGTCCATGGTGCAGCTCTGGTGAGGGGAGACTGGTGATGGGGGACCCATGAGGGGAGACCCCTGAAAAGAGAGCTCTGAGGGGACACCCATGAGGAAGATCCCTTAGAGGAGATCCGTGAGGCAGCTCTGGTGAGGGGAGAATGGTGATGGGGGACCCATGAGGGGAGATTAGCAAGGGGCCAGGGTTGAGGGGAGACCCATGAGGGAAGATCCCTCAGAGGAGGTCTGTGAGGCAGCTCTGGTGAGAGGAGAATGGTGATGGGGGACCCACGAGGGGAGACCCCTCAGAAGAGACCTTTGAGGGGACACCCATGAGGAAAGATCCCTCAGAGGATGTCCATGAGGCAGCTCTGGTGAGGGAACAGTGGTGAGGGGACACCCATGAGGGCAGACCCCTCAGAGGCGATCCATGCAGCAGCTAGCAAGGGGGAGACCCACGAGGGGTCCCCCCCAGACCCCACACAAGACGGGTGCTGAGACACCCCTCACTGACACCGACTCCCACCCGCACTGCTGCCTCCCCCCGGCCAGGAGGGACATCCCCAGAGCCCTGAGAGTCCCTGAGCCGTGACAACCCCATCCCGGCCGGCCCCATCGCGGCGCTGCGGGCGGCTACACAAGATGGCGCAAGGCGCTGCCCGCCCCCGCCCGCCGGCGGCCCCGCTCCCTCAGCGCCGCCCCCCCGGCCCCCTGCCCGCCCGCCCGCCCGCCCGGCGCGGCGGCGTGCTCGCACGGAGGGGAGCTGCTCCGAAATCCGCTTTTTGCCTTTTTCACCCTTTTTTTTTTTTTTTTTTTTTCTTCTCCCTCCTCCTTTCTCAAGCGGAGGGAGGATCTCCGCCTCGCCTCCCGCCCCGGCTGCTCCCTCCCCGTGGGGCGCAGGGAGGCGAGCCCGCCCGGGATGCCATGGCTCCGCCGGGCTCCGCGCTGCCCGCCTGCCTGCTGGGACTGCTGCTGCTCGCCTGCCGCGGAGGTAAGGGCTTGGGGGACCGGGAGCCATCCCCACTGATCCATCTATCCGTCTATCCGTCCCCTTTCGGGCAGCGGGGCCACCCCACGCGCAGCCCCGACCCTAAACCCTGCTTGGGGTCCCAACCCACTGGGTCCCAACCCGGTGGGGCCAAGCCTCGGGCTCCGAAGGCTCCGGGTGGTGAAGCGTGGAGGTGCCCCACAGCCCCTCATCACCCGTGGCATCCCCCTGTGGGATGGGGTCACCCTTGCTGGAAGCTGCCCCGGGTGGGTGAGGCGTTGGAGGGCGATGGTGGCGGCTGTGGGGACCGCGCTGCCTTCAGCCACCAGGCAGGGACTTGGAGGTTGTGTGGCGTTGGCCTGGCTTTGGGTCCATGCTTGGAGAGCCCACACGAAGCCATCGGAGACAGGTACCCGCTTGGATGAGCCGCCTTGAGCAGCGGGAGGTGGTGGCTGCCCAAGGGATTTTGGGCTGAGAGCTGCCAAACCTCCAAGCATCGAGCTCACGTAACGCCCGGCTCCGCTCCTTCAGCCCCAACCTGTGGTGACACCATCCACCTGGACCAGGGCCGAGCTACGAAATCATCAAAGGGGATTTTTTTTCCCCAGACCTACCAGCCCTGCTGATAAATCGCCGTGTTTTCGCCCTGCTTAAGTACGGGGCTGATCGGAGAGGGATGCTGAGGCAGCCGCTGTGCTGTAGCGAAATATTCCCGTGCCTCCTGCCCTCTCTCTGCTTAGCAGCCTGATAAAGAAAAGCAGGAATTGTTTTAAAACCCTACGAGCAGCCCAGCAGGGTCAGAAGGAGGAAAGTGTGCGTTAGATTAATGAATCGGAAGGTTTGCTGCCTGATGCAAGGGGGGTTTAAGGAACGGGGCTGGGGGCTCTTCCCATAATAAACCTCGCCACGTGCTGCGTGGCAGCCGGTGAAACTCGGGGAATAGAAGTTGGCCACGGATCGCTCTGCTCTATTTTGGGGGGAAAGGTGGGGAGAAGGAGGTTTGGAAAGCAAAACTTGGATGAGCTGAGTGCGTGCCTGCTGCTGTGGGAACTGCCTCGCGTGCTCCTTCACGCTGCCGCTGGGCAAGGCAGCGGCTGCGGGCTCGGGGGGTGTTTCTCTGGCCCCACTGCCAACCGCTTGGCTGAGCTTTGAAAGTTTTTCTGCTCTGAGGTTTTCCCCCTGCCCTCGATGGGTTTATTCACCGTAGGTGCGGTTAGCGGCAGTGTAACGGTGTCCGTGGGCTCTGCTGCATTTAAACGAAGCCCCCGCGCCGATGTCAGCCAGCGCCGGAGCAGGGGATGGACGGGGATGGATGGGGATGGATGAGGATGGATGGGGATGGATGCTGTGCTTTGGGGACAGATCCTGTGCTCTGGGGACGGATGGGGACAGATCCTGTGCTCTGGGGACGGGTGCTGTCCCTGTCCATGCAGGATGCTCGCTGCCCTGCTCCTCGGGACGTGGCATTCAGCTCCCACCCGTGCCGCTCTCCCGAAGCACAGGCATGGGAGCTGCTCAGCAGCGAGACACTATTTTCTTTTCTTCTTTTTTTTTTTTTTTTTTTCTTTCCCTTTTAATTTCCTGGAGCTCTTTGTTCTGGGTAGTGGACAGCTTTTGTCTGTTATTGCTGAGCCCGGCATTCAAAGGCAGGCACAGGGATACCAGAGGCTCCCGGCTCTGCTCAGTAACAGCCTCGGAATTAAGCATCGTCATTTATATTTAAGTAGGCTTAACTTCTAAATTATTGAAGCCCTAAGCTTTCACTAATTCCAGCTCTGCGTGGCTCTGTGCTCTTGTTTCTAGATTAAAAAAAAAGTAATAGTAAAAAATAAGATTGCCATCTCCTAACCTGGTGTAATACCCTCAATTTTTATTTCGTATACCTAGAGGTTTTCTGGCGTCGCTTCCCCAGGAAAGCTCAAAGCTGCTGTATGAAATTCAAGCCCGCTTTTGGGCTCTGCCTCTCTTGGGGGGGTTCGACAGGAGGAGCTGGGGGAGCAGTGCCGGGTGCAAGCGTGCCGCCGCCACGCACGCGTCCGTCGGGGCCACGGCCACCAAGCTTCCCGCTGGGAGCACTGAAAAGGTGCCCGAAAGAAAGGGAGAGGGGGCAGCTTGGTCCCCTCCCCATCCTCCCTGCCACCCCCCGGCACGGGGAATTGAAAATCCTGAGCTAATCATGTCGCTCCTCTTCTGATGACCTGTCAGGCTCTGCGCTGGCACGGCACGAGCCCCCGTGCTCATTTTAAGGGCTGGCAGTGGCAGGGGGTCCCCGGTCCCAGTGACAGCCCAGGTCCCCCTCCCTTCTTTCCTGCTCCAGCCTGGTTTTAGCTGAGCACCCCACTGCAACCAGCCCGCCCTGGGCCAGCGTGGAGCAGCTCAGCAGCAGAATCTTTGGGCAGAGAGCTGCAAAACCGCTCTCACGGCGTGCGTGCAGATGAGGAAACCTCTCGCCTTCCCTTCTGCCTGAGTGAACTTTCTGTGGCTTCCCTCCTCCTGCAGGGCTGTGTCACTGGTGCTGGAGCAGAGCTCACGCTTCATTCCCTAGCCTGTGACAGGGCTGAGGCAGAAGATGCTTTCCTCCGTGCCCCCTTCCCCCAGCCTTTATTTCTTCGTGCTTTGCGCCCCTGGGCTTCTACCCCCGGATATTGTCCTTTTATTTGATCTGACCAAACAACACAGGAGCCCCCCTCTGCAGATCAGGAATCGCCATCTACATCAATAACGTCGGGCAGGAACAGGAATAGTCCGTCCAAAATTACTTTGAAATCACAAACTTATTTGAACTTTACTGGAGCTTTTAGTTTTACAGAGTTTCGAAACCAATAAATTACGTAGCAGGGCTCATGAAAACCTACCCGGGTCCGCTTATCCAAAAGAATATGCAACATTTTGCTTTTGCAAGAAAATAAAAATAATTGTTTACACATGTTCAGGAGTCGTTGGCGAGCATATAAAACGGACTGGTTAAGGAGGCGAACATGTCAATAATTGCACTTTAAGAGAAAAGAGAGGCAAGCGGGTGAGCGCACCGCGCTGGCCTCGCTCTTATCTCCGATGTCGCTGCTGCGTCGCGCCCTCTGCTCGAGAGGAGCCCGGTCCCTTAATAACAACCCAGCCTCGCTCCCGCAGGTGGAAATTTAAAACCTGAGTTTTAAGGCAGAGTCGGGGATTTGCTGCCTTTTTATTGTTTTTTTGGGCACGTGGTGAAGCTCGCTGCGAGCCGGGAGGACGCGGGCTGTGGCGGGTGGCGTGCAAAGATGCTGTTGCACGAGGATCTTTGCCTCTTGAAACCCAAACGTGCGTGAAACGGGAGAGAAGTGCGAAGGGGATGGCTCTGGTTTTGGAGCTAGCAGGTTTTTGCTTCTGGTTTTGAAGCTAGCTGCCTGGGGAAAGCTCTGGTTTTAGAGCTGGCAGGGACCCGTGCTTCCAAGTTGCAGGACGGGAGGTGACGGGGCAGAGGGAAAGGCAAGCGAAGGGAGGCAGCTGGGAGCCTTGGAACCCCTGGCTGAGAGTTTCAAAGGTTTTAACGTGCACAGAAACTCTTCTTCCTCCAGAAGGACCTTGCCTTTCCTTCCCTTGCTCACCAGGCAGTCCTGCCCCCAGCACTCAAGCCGATATTTCCAGGGCGATGCGATGGGGCTGCAGATTTTTGGCTGCGGGGCGCCAGCCCTGCACACAGCGTTTCCCTTCTCGGCCGCTTTTTTTGCCGTCCTGGCGCACACGGCGCTTTCCTGCTCCGTATTTGTGTCGCTGATGCCCTCTGCGGTGAGGCTCTGATCTGGTCAGGGCTGCGAAGCACGTGGGGAATGCAAACAACAACGCGTCCTACGCTGGGGCTGCTGCCCCGCTGCCTCGCCGTGCACGGAGCTACCGTGGGCAATGCCATCAGAAAATGCTCTGTGCCCTTTGCAGCCTCACCGACGGGTTTCTCCCGGTTTGATTTAGGGCCGGGGGAGCCCACGAGGGCTCGCAGCTCGTCCTGGAAAGGGGTCTTTGTGCTGGGAAGGCTTCCTGCTTCCGCGCCGTGTTTAACGAGCGACCTCCTGGGATTTGCCCGGTCTGGTCTCAAACATCTGAAAATTATTTGGGGCCGTTTCTCTGCCTCTTCGGGCTGCATTTGTTAAAACCTCGGCATCAGGTGGCCGAGAGGGAGGTTGTCCTCACAAAGCCTCCTGCAATCCTCTCGCAATGTGGTTTATGCGCCCTGATGGACAAATCGCTCTGTATAACCCCTGTCCGAAAGGAAAGGGACTGAAATGATCGGAGATGGAAAACTTTTTCTATCATTTTTCTGGATGCCCTAAAGAGCCAATTCGCACTGCTCTGCAGTGCTCTTCTCCTTAGGGTCTGGGTCAGCCTGGAGGAGATTTCAGGCTGCTTCCTTGTGCTTTTGATTGCAGCAGGACCTTGGTGGAGGCCAGGCTCGCCGGCGGCTCGCTGCTGATTTATGCCGCGTGACGCTGGGAACAAACACGGTAAATCAGGAGAGGGCGAGCACGACCCCGCTGCCCGCCACAGGCTGCTTGCAGGAGGATGCCGGGGTGATGCGAGAGGAGCTGGGGCTGCTGGCGGCTCCTCGCCGAGCTGGGACGGGCAGCGAGGGCCTGGCTGCTCCCACCACGTCTTGTTTTAATGACCCACGTGCTGCTGGGGCTGAGGGGTGCAGGAGGACAAGCCCGGGTCCTGCTTGGGGTCGGTGAGATCACTGCTGTGTTTGTAGGAGAACAGGATGGGAAGCCAAAACCGAATGGGAAAGGACAATGCTAGGCTATGAGCAAGTTCTTTTGAAGCTTTGAACATGAATCACAGTGTCAAGTAAAAAATAATTAAACTTTTTTTTTTTTTAAATGTACTTCAAAGTGTCTTTTAAGCTTCCCATTAATTCCAAGTTCTTTCTCTCAGCGCTAAATAAATCTCTCGGTTCAAAAGCCCAAGTGCTAATTGGTTTCTCTGAGTATGCCTGTCTGCGTGATCAATAGGGGCAGGAGTTTTTGTTAAATATTTGCACGTATAGCCTCATACTGTACTGCTCGGGGAGATGGTAAATGTTTCTCCAAAGGAGACTTGTAGGATGAGGATCCCAATAATTTTCTCGTGGCCTTTCTGTCACAGCTCATAACGCTTCCTCCCTCCGTCCCGCTGCAGAAGTGAAGCAATTTTCCTTCGTGCGCTGCCTGGTGCAGCCTGAGAGGAGCTGATCCTGTCCCTGCGTGGCACCCCTGTGCCGGGCAGGCAGTGCTGGGAGCCTCGGAGCCCTCCTGGAGGTGCCCGGGACGTTGTGTGGGGTGAGGCAGGTTTGGGTACGCAGCCAGGGCTCCTCGTGCCGCCGTGAGCGCACGCGGCCTCAGTGGTTTCCTCTCCCTCACAATTAATTGTGCTTTTACTGTTTCCACGTGCTGTCAGAGTGTCACTGACTTCCAATTTCATCATTTCTGCTAGCTGCAATCAGATATTTGTGCTCAGCCACTGTCCCCGTCCCTTCCACCCTCATCATCCCACAGAGGCAGGGATCTGTGTTTGGGGTCCGCCTTGGGGACCCGGAGCCCCACGGTGCCAGTCTTGGGAGGCCAAATCTCAGTGTCCCTGTTCGAAGCCCAGTCCTTGAAAACCATTTTTGATGTGAGTAATCCCAGGCAGTGGCATTTCCCAGCGTGGTTAGGGCCAAAGGGTGGAAAGGGGATGTTTAGGAAGGGAGAAGGAACCTGTAAGGTGCCCAGTTCCTGCTGTGCCTTGCACCCCTGTTTTCTCCAGAGCAGCTGTGCACAGACCATAGGTTGGGGGGTTTGTGGGCTAGTTCCTATTCCTCTTCCTCCTGGTGCATAGCACTGGGTGATGCAGCATCCCAGAGCCTTGATTTTTCTCTTTTTTGAGGAAAATTTCCAGGAACATGACGCTGCACCCTGCAAACTTTGCAGAGTGGGACACTGAGGCCCTTGAGGACCAAAGCGGAGATGTCCAAGGCAATTTAGGATCTATCTGCTTCACGATGCAACGTAGGCAGCTTTAGGGTGTGCAAAGTGCCAGGGAAAGGCTTTGGGACTTTCGAAGGGCTCTTCCCCGTGTCCTTCAGCATCGAACCCTCTGAGAAGAGGAGAAACTTGGCCCAGAGTTGGGGTGGGAAGCCCGTGGCGGGCGCGTGTCGGAGGGCCCCGCTCCTAATTACGAGCGGCGGCGCTTCTGCTGCTCGAGCAGCCCGGAGTTCGGATGCAGAGCGACTGTTTATGGAGGTAAACATGATTATCTCCAATCACGGGCCCTAATGACGGTTATTATAATGACAGCGATTGTGGGGAGGGCGTGTAATTATGTTGATTCTTCCTTTTATCGTACATCTAATAATAAGCTATTTTATCTAAGAGTCCAGGGGAGCGGGGGAAAAGACGGGGCATTTAACTCATTAGGGGTTTTTCCTGATTGCCTGATCGGTTAAATCCTGAAATCTGCTCAATTGTATCGAGGCAGAAGCCCCCCTGGGCTCTGCGGGGAGGCAGGAGGTGAGGGTCCTTACCCTGCCAACAGGGCCCCAGCACGGTGGGTGCTGTCGAGGTTCTGGCCACTTTGCAGAAAAATGCGGAGCATTCGTCTAATTCCTTAATTTTTACCCCAAAACAAGAATAATTGGTGGGTTTGTGCTGGCTGCAGCGTACCTTGCGGAGAGGACGCCAGTGCTATCCCATAAAAAAAACCTGAAGTCACACTGAGCGATGGATCACCGAGCTGGCTGGAGCTCGCCTGACATTTTAAGGCTAAATGGGTTAAAAAACGTGTGCCGGAGGTGTCCATCACCACGCAGGGTCTGCCCGTTCCCTGCACACTCTCATACCTCGGCAGCACCTCTGACCCGCCGAGCGCTGCCCTGGCCTCCTTTGTCTGCTCCGTCCATCTGCCCCGGCTCAGGTTGCACCCCGTGTTTATCCCCTGTAATCCAATTTAAGTTGCCGTAGAAAGCGATGGGGGTTTACGGAAAGAAAGGAAAAAAATCTCACCGGGTTTGCCGAGCCAAAAAGACAGGCTTTTTTTAATTATTTTTTTTCCTTTTAGGCTAACTGCTCCTCTCATCCCTCTTATTTCCACCGTGCTTTCCCCCGTTACCCCCAAGGCCGTGCCGTGGCTGCTGCTTGCCCAAAGACCTTGCCCACGTGCACCCCAGGTCCTCCAGCAGCCCAGTTCCTCCCGAGTTGGTCCCCTGGAGCCCATGGATGAGGGAGAAGCTGCCCCACAGCGCACAACCGCTGGAAGCCTCCACCCATGGGTGGCTGTAGCACAGGAGAGCAGCTGGAGGCTTTTTGGGGGTTCATCTGAAATCCTACTTTTCTTACTCTCCGGGAATTTCCTCTCTGTTGCTCATTTTGATTAAAAAAATCGCCTCCATCTCTGCGTTCACACCCTGCGGATGTTTGTATGACTCCTGTTGCTCGGTCGCTTTTTTGCCTTCTGTGTCAGCGTGTGTTTTGGGCTAATCTTTAAATAACAGCTCCCTTTCCGTCCTCTTCTGTGGTGCCTCATCATGCCTATATGGCAAATTATACCCTAAAAAGGTGTACTGGACCAGGTGAAGCATAACACGCCACGGTGTTTAAGCATTTTGTTGGCAAAAGAAGAAAATCAGTGCGTATCTGTGTGATGGGAGGCGAAGCTTTGCCCATTGTTGGTACAAATCCTGCAATAACTGAGATTTCGAGGGCAAAGCCTTGGGAGGCAAGACATTCCCAAGGGTTTCTGTCATTCCAAAATGTTTTCCCCATCATCACCTTAGCAGTTGGCCCTTGCTTGGTCTTGTGGACGTGTTGCTGACTCTTTCCTTCTCTCTCCTCCCTGCCTTTTAGATTTCGGCCGTTCCTCCGAGCTGGCGTTCGTGGTGGAGCCCAGCGATGACGTGGCGGTGCAGGAGCAGCCCTTGCTCCTCTACTGCCAGGTGGAGGGCATCCAGCCCATCACCATCACCTGGCGGAAGAACGGCGCCGTGATCGTGGACAGCGAGAACGCCTTCGTGCTGGCCAACGGCTCGCTCTACGTCTCCCGCTTCCAAAGGATCCGCGGGGACGGCTCCTCGGACGAAGGCGAGTACGACTGCGTGGCGCAGAACCACTACGGGCTGGTGGTGAGCAGGAAAGCCAGGATCCAGGCAGCCAGTAAGTACGGGTTTCATCCCAGCTGCACCTCCTGGGGCAGCTCTGCTACCGTGCTGCGTGCTCGGGGTGGGAGGCTTGAAGAGGGGAAGAGAAAGAAGAGCAGGGAGCTGGCGCGGGGATCTGGCGTCTAATCTCTGCGGTTGTCCAGCTGTGGAAGAAGAGCTAATCAGCCTTCTCGGGGGGAAAAAACAAAAAGGCAGCTTCCAGCAGTAAATCTGTCTCGGAGGGGTGAGTTACGGTAAAGTCATGCAGTGAAATAAGCCATGGTCCGTGGCTATCCTGCAGTAGTTTTGGAAGCCCCTCAGCACGATTGGGCTCTGCTTGGCAGGCAGCACACCCTAAACCTTCAGCAGAGACCTTCTGAAGGTCACGGCTTCTTCCCTTTTGTTATTTAAGACAGGCAGTGTGGAGGCAGCAAGGTCTTATTTACTACCCAGCGTGGCAGTGCCGTCGGGGGCAAGGCTAACAACACCAGACAGATTGTCTGCTGGGGGAGCCTGGAGGAGGAGAGAGATGAAAATGTCAGCGAGGGAATGAAATTTAAAGGTGGGGGAGGAAGAATTACTGGGGCTGGCTGCGACTCCAGCCCTGCACAGCGCCCGGCTTAGCCCCTTGCACCTGGAAACGCTGCTGCAGCCAGAGGGCTTGGCCCATTTGGGTCATCTGATGATGGTTTCCCCCGTGTCAGCTCTGGTTGCAGGGCTGAGTTTGTCCTGGGGCTGCTGGCAGAGCTGAGGAGCTGTGACATGGTGGCTTCTGTCCCCGTGGTGGTGGCCAGCTTTGCCCACAGACTGTCTGCAGGCTGCGGAGGGGCAGCCACCAGCCTCTTTTTGCATCGCACCAGAAGTTGCTGCTGGGTTTGATTGATATTCGGCGGGGGTGTGGGTGTTCAGTATGGCCCCGAGACCTGGCCAAACGCTGGCTTGTTAAATTAAATTTCACTGAAGTGCTCCCCGACTTGTCTGGGAGGCGACTGCCGCTCTTCTCTGTGTGCAAGCCACTTACACCACTTCCATTGTGCCTGCAAACCACGCCGTGCTTTTTTGGTGCAAAACCTACAGCAAAGTTTGGGGCCAGACCCAGGGTCCCCCAGGGCTGCAGTCCCCAGCCTGGGGGGCCCTTTGGAGCGCGGCGTCCCGCTCCCCGCAGCGCTGGGGCCCGCTGGCAGCCCACCAAGGGAACACTTCAGGCCTTGTGTGCAACAATTCCCGAGCGCGTGAAGTGGCCATCTGCAAACCTAGCTTTTCAGGCGGGTAAGAAATGACATTGTCCGGGAGCCAAGGGCTTTGGGGCCGTGCCAGATTAGCAGCTGGATCCGAAACGTGGCCGTCTTGCGGCGCTAAACCTCGGAGTGCTTTTGGTGAGCGGCTCTGGGGGCTGGCTGATGCACGAGCACAATGCCAGGCTTCTCCGACCCGTGAACAGGAGACAGGAGAGCCAGAGGGGTTACCTTTGGGAGAACGGATTGTCGATAAATACCTCTGCCTCGGCTCCTGCATCAGTGTGTATGGGATGTGCTGCCTGGCCCTGAATAGCGTTTCCTTTTGTAGCTCCGTGTGAATCAAATTGAGACCGGGATCGTGCTGAAAACCCTGTGGGTCCGTGCTGGCTTCGGGCTTGGTTTGTTGCCATCCCTATCAAAAGGTTAGGGTGAGGCTAGCACCAAACACGGGCACCTGGCCCCAACGCCACGTGCACCTGCTGGCACTGGGACTGGAACAGGGGATGTTGTGGGGTGTGCAACGCACGGCTCTGGTGAGACCCCGCGTGTGTGCGAGCAAAGATGAGATCTCCCAAAACCAAACCACAGCTGTACCCTTGAGCCCCCGTGTCTTGGGGTGGTTGCACGCAAGTCATAGTGCTTTTCCTTGCCCCAGCTCCAGATAAGGGAGTCAAACAAGAGGAGGAGGTTAATTATCCCCGTTTTAGAGACGAGGGGACCATCGCATTGGAGCCGTGGGCTCCAAAACCCGAGCACTGAGCAGAGTAAATACTGGGGTAAAACTTCATCCCGGTGCCGAGCTCTTCTCCCCGAGCCTGACATCCGAACACAAAAGCAGAGGAGAAATAAAAACCTTTCACAAGCAACAATCCTGAAAGTTGATCAAGGCCATGCTACTGCGGAATAAAAGGGATCTGATGGAGCCGAGCCCCTCGAGAGCCCCGCTGCACTTTTCGCTGTCTTCAAAGGCCGTGGGGCTCGTATCACCGTTACAGCCCCTGGCTTCGGGTTATTGCCTGGAATATAATCTGCTCGGCTCCTCGGCTTGGAGGAATGTACATATTTGCATTCAGGAAATGCGGGTTGGGTATCATATATTTTTTTTTATGTTTCAAGTGTACTCGGGAGCTGGGCGTGGAGCAGAATTTAACTGGAAGATGATGCTGCGCGCAGGCTCGCCGTGTGTGCACGGGGCAGGCAGATTAGCTCGGCTTTGCATGGAAGCCACGGGTTTGGCACAATCTGGAAACTGTGGAGCTGCAAAAATGGGCAGTTTTGCCACAGCAGTAGGTGAGCTGTATGTAAAGGTGGGGAACTGGACAGCCTGTGCTGTCAGCCCCAGCTTCCCCCGCTGCCCTAGGTGAGTCTCGTCGCTCTCCTGCCTCAGTTTCCCCACGGAGTGGGTGCTTCGTAAAGTCTTCCTGCTAGAAATTGGCTTGTGACATTTCCTTAACTGCAATTCTTTGGAAATATCTGTGTTTTATCATTGGTAATCGAAGATTCTTGGCGGAGGAAGGTGGATCTTGGCTGGTTTGTGGTTTGGCAGGCCAGGCGCTAAACACCTTGATGATATTTTTGTGTCCTGTAACCTCCTTTTCAACAAGTAGGAGTGTGCAAGCAGCATGTGCATGACTGAGTCGAGCAGAAGCCCTTGGCACTTCCATCCTCTGCTGCCTGGAGCCGTTCCTGTGCCTATTTGGGCCTTGGTGTGCTGTCAGCAGGCGGTGGAGCGCAGTGTGTTGTTGTGATCCGACCAGATTACTGAACGCAGACCTTTCCCTGATGGCAGTTTCATAATTTCTCACAACTCTGAGCTGTTTTAATTTAAATCGCTTTGGTAGGCAGCGTGTTCTCAGGTGGCAACTCAGTAAGTACTGCAGCCCACTCCTTAGGAAGAGGGGCTCCCCAAAATGCAGCCACTTCTCCTCTCCACCACCTTTTGCTGAACTCAGCCTTCCTCCACCCCGACCGCGCTGCCTCCTGGCATTTCCAGCCTTTCTGCCAATGCTGTCATTTGACAGAGCCGGCTCCACATCCTCATAAATCACAGCCCGGCCGGTGGAGTCGGCCCCATTGATTCTATCACTCAATAACGAGCAGTTGCCACTAATTGGAAATCCCCATCACACCGGCTCTCGGGTCAGGCTCCGCACGCGTCCGGCCTGAGAGCAGCGATTGTCACCACTTGATCTGGTGCTATTAAAAAGAAAAAAAAAGGGAGGTAAGTCATTTGTGTGGCTTAGATCCAGAGATATTTCATGAAGCTTGGTGAAACGGAGCCTGCTGGTACCTGAAATACTGCGGGATGTGAGAGTGAAGCTGGAGAGGTCGGGGCTGGCAAAAAAGGCGCTTTCCTTCTCGTGTCTTGCCACAGGGCACTGCTCTGTAGCCCTGCTCGACACCACACATCCCCTGTGCCTGTCACTGCTCCTTTACTCCCTTCTCCTTCTTCATCCTGCCCCAAATCCCATTCCCCCTCAGCACATTTCGAGGCCATCCCTGGCCTCCCCCAGGACAGGGGCTCGGCTCTGCCATTGCCCCGCAGCCCCCATCCTGGGGCTCTCCCTGGAAACACACCGAACCGTGCCCCCAGGCCAAGGGTCTCGAGGCCATTTGGAAAATACCAAAAGGGGGCAGGTCTGCTGAATATGCATGCCTGTGAGTTGTTTTCCCTCGCTAAGCTGCCCGGCAAGGGGAGGAGGTTGGGAATCGCGGGGATTTTAAAGCAGCCGAGATCTTCCCAGCAGTTCAGTTCCTCCGCGCGGAATACATTCAGGGTTTAACCTGCAGCCCCCTTTCCAGGCTCCGGGGTGGTGGGAAGAGCTGCTGAGCCCAAATAATGGCAGCATTTATAAGAGTGTAGAGACAAGAAGGAAGTCTAAAAGGATTAGGGAGAGACAAAGGGGGCTGATTATTTTATGGGTCACAATACAAGGCATTAGAGCGAGATCACAAAGGGATGTAATTACAAAAGAAGGCCATACTGGGGGGATCAAACCGGGATTAGAGTGGGAAATGTTTTTACACAGTTTTGTTCCACTCATTATGAAGTTAGCATTTGAAATTAAGGTTTTAAAAAAGGTGGCACCGGAGTTGTCCCCGAGGTATTTCCTGGGCAGTGCCACCGTTCGGATGCGGGCTCCCAGCTCCCACCGCCAAGTCACGCCGCCAGCGCCCGGCGTTGCTGCTGGTTGCTCCTGCACGCACAGCACCTGGACGAACAGCACGGCCCTGCCCCGTGCTCCTGCTTCCACCGAGGGAACCCCTTTCCGCAGCTGGGAACGGGGTGGGTTTGTGAGGACAGGTCCCAGCGGCGCCAGGCACGTGCTGGAGGTGAAGGGATGCTTTGGAGGGGCTGCTGTGCTGCTCTGGAGCCGTGCTCGTGTCATTCCCAGGATCTCAGGGCTGATGTTCACTTGCACTTTGTTGCAGTTTAGCCCCAGGTGTTGTTGCACGCCAAGTTTCTCGCATCCACAATCAAAATTTGTATTTATTTTTCCCCCATTTTCTTCGCGTTTCATGCTCTTTCTTTTCAAATACTGAGGAGTGAGCCTGAGGAGCAGGGCTTAGCCTGGTACCGGCGGTGTTTCTCTGCCTCATGCTTGTGCTTTGGATGCTCCCAGCTCTCAGGAAACCCAGAGCACATCGTGGGCTTGTAGCAGCGGTTCCCAGGGGGAGAAATACCCATGAGGAATTACTAAAAAAACTAATAAAAATGGAGCGAAGCAAACAGACGGAGAGAGGCTAGCAGGGGAGGGAAACGAGTGGGTTATTTCTC